TGCACGGCACGCTGTAATGACTGTTGCACGGGCTGTAATGACTGTTGCACGGGCTGTAATGACTGTTGCACGGGCTGTAATGACTGTTGCACGGGCTGTAATGACTGTTGCACGGGCTGTAATGACTGTTGCACGGGCTGTAATGACTGTTGCACGGCTGTAATGACTGTTGCACGGGCTGTAATGACTGTTGCACGGCTGTAATGACTGTTGCACGGGCTGTAATGACTGTTGCACGGGCTGTAATGACTGTTGCACGGGCTGTAATGACTGTTGCACGGCTGTAATGACTGTTGCACGGGCTGTAATGACTGTTGCACGGGCTGTAATGACTGTTGCACGGGCTGTAATGACTGTTGCACGGCTGTAATGACTGTTGCACGGGCTGTAATGACTGTTGCACGGGCTGTAATGACTGTTGCACGGGCTGTAATGACTGTTGCACGGGCTGTAATGACTGTTGCACGGCTGTAATGACTGTTGCACGGGCTGTAATGACTGTTGCACGGGCTGTAATGACTGTTGCACGGGCTGTAATGACTGTTGCACGGCTGTAATGACTGTTGCACGGCTGTAATGACTGTTGCACGGGCTGTAATGACTGTTGCACGGGCTGTAATGACTGTTGCACGGGACTGTTGCACGCTGTAATGACTGTTGCACGGCTGTAATGACTGTTGCACGGGCTGTAATGACTGTTGCACGGGCTGTAATGACTGTTGCACGGGCTGTAATGACTGTTGCACGGGCTGTAATGACTGTTGCACGGCTGTAATGACTGTTGCACGGGCTGTAATGACTGTTGCACGGGCTGTAATGACTGTTGCACGGGCTGTAATGACTGTTGCACGGCTGTAATGACTGTTGCACGGGCTGTAATGACTGTTGCACGGCTGTAATGACTGTTGCACGGGCTGTAATGACTGTTGCACGGCTGTAATGACTGTTGCACGGCTGTAATGACTGTTGCACGGGCTGTAATGACTGTTGCACGGGCTGTAATGACTGTTGCACGGGCTGTAATGACTGTTGCACGGGCTGTAATGACTGTTGCACGGGCTGTAATGACTGTTGCACGGGCTGTAATGACTGTTGCACGGGCTGTAATGACTGTTGCACGGCTGTAATGACTGTTGCACGGGCTGTAATGACTGTTACACGGCTGTAATGACTGTTGCACGGGCTGTAATGACTGTTGCACGGCTGTAATGACTGTTGCACGGGCTGTAATGACTGTTACACGGGCTGTAATGACTGTTACACGGGCAGTAATGACTGTTACACGGGCTGTAATGACTGTTACACGGCTGTAATGACTGTTGCACGGGCTGTAATGACTGTTACACGGGCTGTAATGACTGTTACACGGGCTGTAATGACTGTTGCACGGGCTGTAATGACTGTTACACGGCTGTAATGACTGTTGCACGGGCTGTAATGACTGTTACACGGGCTGTAATGACTGTTGCACGGCTGTAATGACTGTTGAACGGGCTGTAATGACTGTTACACGGCTGTAATGACTGTTGCACGGGCTGTAATGACTGTTACACGGGCTGTAATGACTGTTACACGGGCTGTAATGACTGTTGCAGGGGCTGTAATGACTGTTGCACGGGCTGTAATGACTGTTACACGGGCAGTAATGACTGTTGCACGGCTGTAATGACTGTTGCACGGGCTGTAATGACTGTTACACGGGCTGTAATGACAGTTGCACGGGCTGTAATGACTGTTACACGGGCTGTAATGACTGTTGCACGGCTGTAATGACTGTTGCACGGGGTGTAATGACTGTTGCACGGCTGTAATGACTGTTGCACGGGCTGTAATGACTGTTGCACGGGCTGTAATGACTGTTGCACGGCTGTAATGACTGTTGCACGGCTGTAATAACTGTTGCACGGGCAGTAATGACTGTTACACGGGCTGTAATGACTGTTGCACGGCTGTAATGACTGTTGCACGGCTGTAATGACTGTTGCACGGCTGTAATGACTGTTACACGGGCTGTAATGACTGTTACACGGGCTGTAATGACTGTTGCACGGGCTGTAATGACTGTTGCACGGGCTGTAATGACTGTTACACGGGCTGTAATGACTGTTGCACGGCTGTAATGACTGTTGCACGGGCTGTAATGACTGTTACACGGGCTGTAATGACTGTTGCACGGGCTGTAATGACTGTTACACGGGCTGTAATGACTGTTGCACGGCTGTAATGACTGTTGCACGGGCTGTAATGACTGTTACACGGGCTGTAATGACTGTTGCACGGGCTGTAATGACTGTTGCACGGGCTGTAATGACTGTTGCACGGGGTGTAATGACTGTTGCACGGCTGTAATGACTGTTGCACGGCTGTAATAACTGTTGCACGGGCAGTAATGACTGTTACACGGGCTGTAATGACTGTTGCACGGCTGTAATGACTGTTGCACGGCTGTAATGACTGTTGCACGGCTGTAATGACTGTTACACGGGCTGTAATGACTGTTACACGGGCTGTAATGACTGTTGCACGGGCTGTAATGACTGTTGCACGGGCTGTAATGACTGTTACACGGGCTGTAATGACTGTTGCACGGGCTGTAATGACTGTTGCACGGGCTGTAATGACTGTTGCACGGGCTGTAATGACTGTTACACGGGCTGTAATGACTGTTGCACGGGCTGTAATGACTGTTGCACGGGCTGTAATGACTGTTACACGGGCTGTAATGACTGTTGCACGGGCTGTAATGACTGTTACACGGGCTGTAATGACTGTTGCACGGCTGTAATGACTGTTGCACGGCTGTAATGACTGTTGCACGGGCTGTAATGACTGTTGCACGGGCTGTAATGACTGTTGCACGGCTGTAATGACTGTTGCACGGGCTGTAATGACTGTTGCACGGGCTGTAATGACTGTTACACGGGCTGTAATGACTGTTGCACGGGCTGTAATGACTGTTGCACGGCTGTAATGACTGTTACACGGGCTGTAATGACTGTTACACGGGCTGTAATGACTGTTGCACGGGCTGTAATGACTGTTGCACGGGCTGTAATGACTGTTACACGGGCTGTAATGACTGTTGCACGGCTGTAATGACTGTTGCACGGGCTGTAATGACTGTTACACGGGCTGTAATGACTGTTGCACGGGCTGTAATGACTGTTACACGGGCTGTAATGACTGTTGCACGGGCTGTAATGACTGTTACACGGGCTGTAATGACTGTTGCACGGGCTGTAATGACTGTTGCACGGGCTGTAATGACTGTTGCACTGGCTGTAATGACTGTTGCACGGCTGTAATGACTGTTGCACGGCTGTAATAACTGTTGCACGGGCAGTAATGACTGTTACACGGGCTGTAATGACTGTTGCACGGCTGTAATGACTGTTGCACGGCTGTAATGACTGTTGCACGGCTGTAATGACTGTTACACGGGCTGTAATGACTGTTACACGGGCTGTAATGACTGTTGCACGGGCTGTAATGACTGTTGCACGGGCTGTAATGACTGTTACACGGGCTGTAATGACTGTTGCACGGCTGTAATGACTGTTGCACGGGCTGTAATGACTGTTACACGGGCTGTAATGACTGTTGCACGGGCTGTAATGACTGTTACACAGGCTGTAATGACTGTTGCACGGCTGTAATGACTGTTGCACGGGCTGTAATGACTGTTACACGGGCTGTAATGACTGCTGCACGGGCTGTAATGACTGTTGCACGGGCTGTAATGACTGTTGCACGGCTGTAATGACTGCTGCACGGCTGTAATAACTGTTGCACGGGCAGTAATGACTGTTACACGGGCTGTAATGACTGTTGCACGGCTGTAATGACTGTTGCACGGCTGTAATGACTGTTGCACGGCTGTAATGACTGTTACACGGGCTGTAATGACTGTTACACGGGCTGTAATGACTGTTGCACGGGCTGTAATGACTGTTGCACGGGCTGTAATGACTGTTACACGGGCTGTAATGACTGTTGCACGGGCTGTAATGACTGTTGCACGGGCTGTAATGACTGTTGCACGGGCTGTAATGACTGTTACACGGGCTGTAATGACTGTTACACGGGCTGTAATGACTGTTGCACGGCTGTAATGACTGTTGCACGGGCTGTAATGACTGTTGCACGGGCTGTAATGACTGTTGCACGGGCTGTAATGACTGTTCCACGGCTGTAATGACTGTTGCACGGGCTGTAATGACTGTTACACGGGCTGTAATGACTGTCACACGGGCTGTAATGACTGTTGCACGGGCTGTAATGACTGTTACACGGGCTGTAATGACTGTTACACGGGCTGTAATGACTGTTGCACGGGCTGTAATGACTGTTGCACGGGCTGTAATGACTGTTGCACGGGCTGCAATGACTGTTACACGGGCTGTAATGACTGTTGCACGGCTGTAATGACTGTTACACGGGCTGTAATGACTCTTGCACGGGCTGTAATGACTCTTGCACGGGCTGTAATGACTGTTGCAAGGCTGTAATGACTGTTGCACGGGCTGTAATGACTGTTGCACGGGCTGTAATGACTGTTGCACGGGCTGTAATGACTGTTGCACGGCTGTAATGACTGTTGCACGGCTGTAATGACTGTTGCACGGGCTGTAATGACTGTTGCACGGGCTGTAATGACTGTTGCACGGCTGTAATGACTGTTGCACGGCTGTAATGACTGTTGCACGGGCTGTAATGACTGTTGCACGGCTGTAATGACTGTTGCACGGGCTGTAATGACTGTTGCACGGGCTGTAATGACTGTTGCACGGGCTGTAATGACTGTTGCACGGGCTGTAATGACTGTTACACGGGCTGTAATGACTGTTGCACGGGCTGTAATGACTCTTGCACGGGCTGTAATGACTGTTGCACGGGCTGTAATGACTGTTGCAAGGCTGTAATGACTGTAGTGTGGGCAGTAATACATGGAAGGTCACTAACTACTGGAGCCGGCAGTTATACATGTGAATGTGTTGCAGGTGACAATATCAAACGGGCTGGCCTGGAGCCACGACAGGAAACATTTCTACTACATAGACTCTCCCGCCAAGGCTGTCTACCACTTCGACTACGACGATGCTGCTGGAACCATCAGTATGTTAATATATTTGATCTTTGTTTGACGGCCTGGTATCTCACTCGCATAATTGGGCGGAGAATAATAATATACACTCACTAGTATAATTATCTAAAACATGTCGATAGAAATAAAGAAACAAGTAAAACTCACATTCAAATTTGCAAGAGGCAAGACCTCACCTTTATATATAATTGTCATAATTGCGGATATATCATTGCTCTCACAGGCTGTTTAATATTGGCCGGCAGTGTAAAGTAAATATAATTGTTTCAAACATTGATTATGATTGTCTAAATAAATGTAACTGTACAAGTGGGCGCTCTAGTGGCTAGGGAGAAGCTTCCATCAATATCATTAACTTGTGTTTTTGAGGGAATTTTAATATAATTGTTGAAAATGTAAAAACAAAATATAATGTAACGAATAAATTAGTAAGAATTTTGTGCATAATCAGTATGTAATAAGTTTTCAATAATGATACACACTCTGGATTTTATTTAGTGTGGTATTAAACAATTGTTCTGTGGCCGGAGTCATCAGCCAGTTTGCAACGTAATTAGATGTTTCCTTGTCTCGCTCATGGCGTTTATGCCACGACTGAACGAACATTTTACAAACAATGGCCTGAAGAAAACTGAAATTCATCTTTGTACTGCACAAGTACTACGATTACATTTTCAAAGGCAGTGTTCGAATGATTACAAAGTGATTGATGAAGATTAGGCCCCTAGGGAGTGGCACGGGCATGAATAACCTTTAAGTGCGGATTTCTTTTAAGTGAATGTGATCTTTGGTCGTGAAAGGATATAATACTTGCTGTGTTCGCATTTAAATCGTCAGTCCTTACTATGTAGCTGCTATCGCGGGGGAGAATACTGCTTGACAGTATTTACGAGGGTGTTCAGCTGCTGATTTCCTTTCATTACCAGAAGAGTGGCATTGTTGATGGCTTCAAGGTGTTTACTGCAAGATTCAGGGACTTTTAAAGTTCTTCTAGGGTGGTTAGTTGCTTGCTTCATATTCCAGGAGACATTGAAGTAGTGGCTTTTCTTTGATTGTTTAGCAGAAGATGCATTCCCACTCTCTGGGTTCACTAATTTCCCAGGCGAATCTGTAACCTAGACATAGTCTATATAACCGAGCTACTATTTCCATGTGGATTCCTTTTGGAATATTTACCCTCTCTAACTTGGTTGCCTGAAGGTACCATATTGCAGAGGGCGAACCTTCTGCTACTCTCTGTTGTAGATGAGCTTTGTTGAGGTGTGCGAGTTTTTTGTGATGGTGTTTTTTATGTATCCTAGGCTAGGTTGGATTCTTTTGTGGATCACTGGATGATGAGTTACCAATTTACCAATTTCATCGGCTTTCTCATTTAATGGGATGGGATCCAGTTTAGGATGATGAGTCCTTTGCCTTCAGTGATTACTAGATGATTGATTGATGAAGATTAAGCCACAAAAGGTACAACGTTACGGTACAACAGCCCTCTTTTTTTTCCCTTCCCAGACTCGTGTGGTGGGCAACCAAGCCCCTGAGTTAGACTGTGTTGGAAGACCGGGCTCTGTAGCCCCCACTACATTGGGCCCTGACCATGTTCCTTCTTGGACTCTACTGACTGCCTCTCTCTGCTCTTCTCCCACCTCTGTGGCGCGGTTGAGCCCCAAGCTCCCAGTGGTGACGACCTCATCACCTGGCATGTTTCCGTCTCTAGTTGTCACAACTGCGCCTTTACCAATTCTCTTACTGGGAGTGCTTGGCGTCGTCACCTCCACACTCGCCTCACGCTTGATTCCTTTCCAATCTCTTTTTTTCCAGGCTTTGTCTGGTTCTGCTACATAGACTAAACATTTTGATATTAGTCATGTTGACCCTACTTGTCCTTATTTATTTCTCCATAAGCACCTTGTTGATTCGGTGGGTACATTGGTCACCTATAACCCCACCTGTGCTGCAGTCCCTTCTCAGGAAGCGGCTGCCCACTTGGCTTCGTTGACTCATTGAATCAACGAAGTGCATTGGGGAGACCCCTGTTCAGATCTTGACAAATTCCCGGTTGAATGCCTGAATTAGCACAATTCTTCTCCCGCACTATGTTGTGACGGGTGACAGGGAACTACAGGTGAACTACAGGTGAACTACAGGTATGTTGTGACAGGTGGATACCTTCACTTGACCCCCCCTTGTGGTCGTCGCCATCAGCCTCTTCGCATTGTGAAGGTCACGTTTGATGGTAGGTCCCTTCCCTCTTCAGTCATTCTTGCTGATACCAGATGCTTCACTCAGGAGTACATTCCCTCTCCTCGCCTTTGCAGCAGGTGATGGAGATTTGGGCATGGTCTCTTTTAAGTGCATAAGTGAGGCCTCTCTCTCTGCCCCTTGTGTGGAACCTCAGGTCATTCTAAGACAGAGTGCCCTTTCTCCCAAACTCTCTGCATCAATTGCGGTGACACCCATCCTGTCTCTTCCCGTGCATGAGTGCATTACAAATTTGAGGAAGCCATCCTCAATTTGAAGCATCGTGATCATTTGTCTTTTTTTTTTTTTTTTTTGAGATATATACAAGAGTTGTTACATTCTTGTACAGCCACTAGTACGCGTAGCGTTTCGGGCAGGTCCCTGGAATACGATCCCCTGCCGCGAAGAATCGTTTTTTCATCCAAGTACACATTTTACTGTTGCGTTAAACAGAGGCTACAGTTAAGGAATTGCGCCCAGTAAATCCTCCCCGGCCAGGATACGACCCCATGACATAGCGCTCGCGGAACGCCAGGCGAGTGTCTTACCACTACACCACGGAGACTTAAATTTTCTTGAGACTTGGCGCCGAGTTCGCCAATCTTCCCTCTTTCTCTGGCATGTCTTATGCTCGTGTGATGTGTTCCCCTTCTTCACGCCCTCTACTGGTTTCTCCGTTTCGAGGCCTTGAATTCCGACACCTCCATCACCACTTCGTCTGTTCCATCTGCTCCTTGGCGTTCTGGGCCAGAGGGTTCTCCTCCTCCTCCTGGTTCTCAGTCTGGTGTTTTCTTCCTTCCTTCCCAGTCTTCCTTGTCTCTTATGCCCTCCTTGCTTTCTTGCCCTACTCCTTCTCAGCCCTCCTCTCTGTCTCTTCGTCCTCCTCACCATCTGTCTGTTCAGGGTATTGTCCACCCTCCTCCCGCGTTCGTCATGTTGCCCGTTCCCCTTCTCCTGTTGAAACTTTTGAGGTGGTTGCCCAGTATATTGCTGATGGTATGCCTGTCTCTTAACGTCAAAAGCGTAAGCCTGGCTCCTCTATTTCTTCCTCCCCGGGGGAAGGAAGAAGTAAGAAAGCTTCGATGTTTTTTCCCCTTCCGACTCCGACTCTATTGCTGCTTCCACTTCCTTTTCCAGTGGCAGGGTATCCTGTCCCTCCTATGGAAGTTTCCTTGGTCCTTGATTCTTTCGTGGATACTGCCCTTGTTCCGGTGCCCTCACCTGTTTCTGTCCTTCCTGCCCCTGATTCCCTTGACCGCCCCTCTTCATTGCCTCCAGCTGCTCCGGACTCTGTCCGTTCACCTCTGGTCCGTCTTCCCGCTCCCTTGTTTTAGTTATCTATGCTAATTTTACCTCTGCCCCATCACCCTGATTTCACCGATCCTGATCTTGTTCTTCCTTAGTCTACTGTGTTCTGCTTTGCTATTGTTTCTCCCTTATTATCTCTGTTTCTGTTCTCTTTTTTGTCAATGTCTGTTTTTCAATGGAATATTCGTGGTTTTTATGCTAACTTCCATGAACTCCAACTTTTGATCACGCAGTTTTCCTTGTTTTGTGTTTGTCTCCAGGAGCCGATGCTTGGTGCTCATGCTGGTCGCATGAGCACCAAGCATCCGGCCTTCATGGTAATCTTCCTCTTTTTCTCCATAGCTTCCTCTCTCATCATTCCTTTTGAGTGAGGCTTGGTACCACTCTCTCTGCCTCTTTTCAGCAATACGAGGGTGTGCCCCAAGGTAGTGTTCTGAGCACTGTTCTGGTTGCCCTCAATGGTCTTCTTTCCTCTTTCTTCTGGCGTCTTCACCGCTCTCTATGTCGGCGATCTTACCCTTTGCTGTCGTGGTGATGATTTGCCTCTCCTTCAACGGCAGCTTTAACTTGTGATTGATGCCAAGTCGTCTTGGGCCACCGATCATGGCTTCAGGTTCTCCACGTCTAAGACTTGTGCCATGACTTTTACTCAGAAGCGTGTCGTTCTTCGTCCTTCTTTGTTGCTTCATGGTCACCCCCCTTGTGTACCAGGATTCCACTAAGCTTTTGGGGTTAATCTTTGACATTCGTTTGTCTTGGTCGCCCCATATCTCTTACCTCGAGTTAAATGCTCTAAGGCCCTTACCCTCCTTCAGGTATTGTCCCATACTTCTTGGGGAGCAGATAGGCTCACTCTCATCACTTTACATACCTCTCTCGTCCTGTCTAAACTCGATTATGGTTGCCCTGCTTACTCGTTCTACTCTTCACCGTCCTGATGTTTTGCATCATACTGGGATGCGCCTCAGCTCTGGTGCCTTTCGTTCAACTCCCGTCCTCAGCTTGTATGTTGACACTGGCTTCCTCTCTCTCCAGGACCGCTATGATCGCTACTGTCTTCTCTATCTTGCACGGTCCTTGCAACATCCTTCCTCTCGCCTCTGTCATGCTTTAACTTTTACCCCTCCTGCGGTTCCTGTTCCTGTTCCTGTTTCCTTCACAACCTCCCTCTTTTTGTCCTGTTATCTCGCTTACAGGATTCTCTTTCAGTTCGTATTTCAAATATTTCTCCTCGTGTTGTTCCCTCCTTGCCCCCATGGAGAGTCTCCCTTTCGAAGTTTTGTACATCCTTAACCAGCATCACTAAAGCTTTTACCTCTCTCATGGTTCTGAAACGCCTTTTCCTTGAGCACTTTTCTTCGCACTCCCGCTCCGTTTCCATCTTCACCGAAGGGTCTATGTTTGCGGATGGTGGAGGTTACCCTGTTGTTTTTCCTGACAGAACTTATATGTGTCGCCTACCTCCAGAGACTAGCATCTTCACAGCGGAACTTTATGCTATTCTCTATGCTCTTCGTCTCCTGCTTTCTCGTTGTCAATCTTCCTTTGTAGTTGTCGTTGACCCTCGTAGTGCCCTCATGGCTCTCGGGTCCTTTAATCCGGTCCATCCAGTGGTTGTCGAGATTCAACATGGCTGTTTCTTATTTCTTGTAAATTTAAATCAGTTGAGTTTTGCTGGGTTCCCAGCCATATTAGTATCTCTTTAAATGAGCGTGCGGATGCTGCTGCTAGGGAAGCTGTCGCTGTCCGCTCTTGTCCCATCTCTCGTAAAGGTATTCTTTATTCCGACTTTTATCCAGTTATTCATTCCTTCATCCTTACCTGTTGGCATTATTGTTGGTCTTCTGTTACTGGTAACAAACTGCATACTCTGAAGAGTACTGTATCTTCGTGGCCGTCCTCTTACCATCATAACCGGCGATGGGAAACGGCTCTGGTGAGGTTGCTTTTTGGCCATATACGCTTAACTCACGGTCACTTAATGGAGCATCCCCCTGCTCCTTATTGTCCAAATTGCATTGTCCCTCTTATAGTTGTGCATATTCTTGTTGAATGTTCTGACTTCCAGAACAAGCATTTGTCTTGTTTTCTGACCGTCCCTCGCGGTCGCTTGTCTCTCGATAGAATTCTTGGTGAATCGGATACTTTTGATATAGTTCACCTTATGCATTTCTGTTCTCGTATTGGCATCCTTGGTGATATTTACCGCCCTCTGATTATTCCATACATTTGATGGTGCTACATAGCTTTCCCAGTTTGGTGCCTTCTTTTGATAATTACTTACTTTTTCTGGTTGCCTTCAATGGTCTTCTTTCCTCCTTTGCTTCTGATATTTTCTCCGCTCTTTATGTTGATGATCTTTCCCTCTGCTGTCAAGGTGATGACTTAACTTTCCTCCAACGGCGGCTTTAACTTGCGATTGATGTTATGTCGTCCTGGACCAACAATCATGGCTTCAAGTTCTCTCCGTCTTAGACTTGTGCTATGACCTTTACTCGGAAGCAGGTGGTCCTTCAACCCCCGTCTGTTGCATTAAGTTAATTCTCTTCATACGAAAGATTCTGCTAAACTTCTGGGGTTAATCTTTCACACTCGCTTGTCCTGGTCACTCTATAATTCCTACCTCTGAGTTGAATGCTCTAAGGCTCTTAACTTACTTAATCTTGTCCCATACTTCCTGTGGAGCTGATAGGCGCTGCTCCTCTCTTTACATTCCGCTCTCATGCTGTCTAAACTCGATTATGGCTGTCGTGCTTACTCATCTGCCTCTCCCTCCACCCCTTCGTCGTCTTGATGCTCCTCATCAGACTGTGCGTGTGTCTTAGCTCTGGTGCCTTTCTTTCGACCTCAACCAAGATCTCAAATTTTGAGACCGCCATCTTGTCTCTACAGGATTGCCGCGATCGCTACTGACTTTGCTACTTTGCGCGGTCCCTAAAACACCCTCGCTCTTGCTCATGTTGTACTTTGACCATTACCTCTCCTATTAGCCTCTGTTCCCTTTCCAACCTGTCCTCTTAAAAATAACGTCGGTTTTGGCCGTTTGCCCGCATGGCCGAAAGTGGAGGTAATTTGAAAATAAAAAAAATGAAAATAAATTTGGGACTTTTTTCCACCAACAGTTAGTTAAGGGTCCTCTGGTAGGTTAGGTGGGCAGGAAATTCTCATAAAGTTTCAAAACGTTAATTGAAAGTTTCCTCTCCTAACCTTTCCGAGTAGGCGGGACGACTCAAACAGAAAACGGGACAGTACGTCACTTTTGTGAGTCAATTTCATTTCAAATTACATCCACTTTTGGCCATAGCGCGCATACGAGCGAAAAGTGACGTTATTTTTAAGAGGACGGGTTGCCCTTTCACCACCCTCCCCTTTCTGTACGTGTCTTCCTTGCAAGTTTCTATCTCGGTTCATGTTGAAAATGTTTCTCCCCTTGTCATTCCGTTCTTGCCCCTATGGAGGGTCCCTCTTCCTAAGTTTTGTAGAACCTTGAGCTGCATGACTAAGGCTTTTACCCCCCCCCCCCTACAGTTCTGAAACGCTTTTTCCTTGCTCACCTTTCTTCACCCTCCCACTCCATCTCCATCTTCAGAGATGAGTCCAAGTCTGCTGACGGTGTAGGCTAATCCATTGTGTTTCCTGACTGCACCTATATATCTTGCGAGGTAACATAATGGCCTTGCCCACTTAACTCATGGGCACTTAATGGAGCGCTGCCCTGCTCCTTATTGTCCGAATTGCATTGTCCCTCTCACGGTCGTGTATATGCTTGTTGAAAATCATGACATCCAGGATGAGCGTACGTCTTGCTTCCCGACTGTCCCTCGCGGTCACCTGTTCCTCGATAGTATCCTTGGTGAATCGGATGCCCTTGATGTTGTTTGCCTTATGAGCTTTTGTTCTCGTATTGGCATCCTTAGTGACATTCAGCGCCTTTTGAATATCCCCCACATGTGATGGTGCTACATATCCTCCTCGGCTTGGCGCCTTCTTTTGATAATTACTTAAAAAAAATTAATTACATAATTACATATAATTAATAATTTAAGTACTATGAGGCCCGTGAGTGTGGGGCCAGTCAGAGGGAGGCGCTAATCTTGGGGGCTTAAGAAGCTTTGTTGTATGTTAGATAAAAAAACATGGACTAGGCTCATGAACATAGCTGGCATATTAATTCACTTTATATGTAAGAACCTGCCATATGCATACCTGTAGATACACAGCTGTGGTTGCAGCTGAAGAATGCGCAGCAAGCCCAGCTGGGTTATGTAAACACAGCCTTGTATGGGTCGGTGGGAGTTACAAGGTTATGTGACGACAGGTAACCAGTGGGTGTTACAGGTAACCAGCGTGTGTTGCTGGACTTCCCGGCGGCGGGGCTGAAGGATCAGGTCCCTGACGGCATGACCATAGACGTCGACGGCAATCTGTGGGTCGCCTGCTTCGGCGGAGGACAGGTAAGTTAAGTGTGGCATGGTGGAGGACAGGTAAGTCGTGTGGTATGGTGGAGGACCGGTAAGTCATGTGTGGTGTGGTGGAGGACAGGTAAGTCAACTGTGGCATGGTGGAGGACAGGTAAGTCAACTGTGGCATGGTGGAGGACAGGTAAATCAACTGTGGCATGGTGGAGGACAGGTAAGTCAACTCTGGGGTGTCACAAAATGTTTATCTCTGTTGATATGTTACACACTCTAAAGTAATTTTAAGTGCATATGTTTCCTTAGATGCACAATAAATCGAAACTTTTTTATATTAAAATATGGAAGTATTTTGTGGATTCAGTTGTCCAGTATTATAGATTGGTGTGTTGGTGGTGTTGTCGTCGTTGATCCTTCTCTACGGACAACCCAACCCACAACTCGGTAGAGTGTTTATACTTTACCAGGAGATCACCCTGGGCACTTCTGGCTCTTGGAGAGGGCCTCAACGTCACACGTTTAGGGGATGCAGCTCCAATACTTAGCCTCGTTGTCACGTGCACACACCCACTCGAGCCGCTGTGACTCCCCACTCTCTCCTTAGGTGATATGATCTCCTCAATCCCCTTTTGACTTATTAGTATTACCTTCTACCCTGTCCACAGCAGTGGTTCTTGGTTCTTTCTCTCTCTCTCTCTCTTCTTCTGTACTATTTCATGGGAAGCCTCACTAGGACAAGGGCAAACACCAGCAAATTGGAATACATTTACTGGACAAAGCACATACACAATACATACACACATATAATAATAATGAATCCTATACTCTATACTATTACAATCAGGTTGCACTCCAACACCATCAGAACTCTATCATCCGCCTATCAAGTGGTATCCTATCTCCTGGTTCACCACCTGATATTATCAACCTCCTCAAGTAGATCAAGTCTACATACACTGTTGAACTATCAGCAAGAGAATATAACTATAAACATGTACAAGGAAATCCAGCATTGAATGCAATAACATATATATATATCAGTATAAATGTTCCTTGATACACAACAATGATCAATCGATCACTCTATCAGTCCTAGAACACATACATCTGTAGGTAATCCAGCCTACGACTGCAACTCTAAACTTCAGTATAAAACACTCCTTGACATAAGAATGCAAACAATCACTCACCTCTCACTGCGTCTTGCACGCTAATGACAACCAAACACTATCAACTCCCTACAAGTAATCCACCAGAACTTCCCTTCCACCTCTGGAAGTTCACTACCCTGATATCTTCAGGTTCTTCCGGGCTTCACTTCCAGGATCCTCTACAGCTCCTCCAGGGTACTATCATGAAGTTTCCTTGAGCAACTACGGTGCTTCACCCTTCTGCTAGGTTCCTCCACAGCTCTCTTGGCTGCTACACCATGAAGTTCCCTCGAGCAACTATGGTGCTTCACCACCTCTACAGAAGCACATGACACTCCTCTTCACTGCTTCTCCTCACAGCTCGAGGTCCTCTGCTCCACTACCTTGGAGTCTCATCAACTACTCCCTCTGTGCTGGCTTCGAAGTTCTCAGCAACTTCCTCCCCAAAGACAAACCTGCAACCCATCGACACTCCAATAAAAATGTTTCCCCTTTAACACATAAACAAAAATAATCACACAATATGTTTGCCTTCAACCTCTATCTGTCCTCTACATACTGTGAGAGTGGACTCCCCCGTTGGGCGGGTCCATACTACACCTCGCCTGGCGGCGGTCCTCACTCACGCTGGGAGGGTCCTCCACCGTCAGGAGCCGGGCTCTCTCAGTTGCCTGCCAGCGCTCAGAGGAGATGGATGTCGCTCCGTGTTCCTCCCTCTCCACTCTCTTATTTTAGGCTTTCTGCCTTATCAAAACATGTCTAACTTATAAATAAACATCGCTACTGTCGCTGGGCACACGACCAACTACAAGCAATCACTATGAACTGGCTTAAATCGTGCTTACCACAGAATGTCTCGTCGAGGGCGCTCCTGCCTCTGACGGAGCCTGGTCAGGGCGTTCCACAACCCACGAAAATGTCTCTGGGCGGCTTAATACTCTCCTAGTCGACCACGACTTGAGACCACAACGTTCCCAGCTCGATTCTACAGCTGGCACGTCTACACACTTCTCTTCTCTTGGAGATATATCACTAGGGGTTCCTATCTGATGGGAGTTCAACGGAGCGCGGCTTTCCCCCTGCGATGTCTGGCCTCAAGTGAGGTCAAAGCCCTCCAGAAGCGAGCCTCACGCCTCCAGCAAAATGTCCACATCTCCTAGCCAGTCATTTATCTGTTTTCTTCTTCACTGCCCATAATCTTAAATTGTCAATTAAATCCTACCAACTATTTTACATCTGTGTTATTGCCTTTATATTTCCTAGACCTTCTGGTTAGGTCAGGCTTGCTGAATAACTCTCAAGGAGGGAGACTCGTTTCTCCTGCAGGCTGAGATCATAAAACCATTGAGTGTTGTTAATGCATCAGTATACATTGTTGTATGCTGACTGGCTGAGCACGAACATTGCCATCATAATCAAACTGAACATGCATTTCGGATGTAACTTCCTTGTCATTTACACCCACCATACCTCCTGCACACCCTCATACGCCCCCCTCCCATTCCAGCACGTTGTCATCGTGAGGGGGCTTGGTGAGCTGCTGCCGAAGTGTAATGTTCCATGAGACAATCCTCTGTCCCTTCGAAACCTTATGCTCTTGCTGCTGTCTTCACAAATTGTGCTGGAAGATTTTTTACCTCTTCCTTATGATTCATTTTTCTTCCCCCCCCCCCACCCCTCTTCTCCTTTCTAATTGTTATTTCCCACTGACATTTTGCCATTCTTGATTATGCTTTTGGGCGTCTTCTGTTTTGATGCCCAGGTGTTTGGGATGGCAGCACACACTCTCGCCCGTAGAACTGTGGTACCCGATGTTGCAAGCAATGGGACTCTTTTTTTTTTATTGTCAATTCTCGCCTTCGTTGCTGAATCGGATATCGACAGAATAATCTTAACCTCACTAGGACAAGGGCAAACACCAGCAAATTGGAATACATTTACTGGACAAAGCACATACACAATACATACACACATATAATAATAATGAATCCTATACTCTATACTATTACAATCAGGTTGCACTCCAACACCATCAGAACTCTATCATCCGCCTATCAAGTGGTATCCTATCTCCTGGTTCACCACCTGATATTATCAACCTCCTCAAGTAGATCAAGTCTACATACACTGTTGAACTATCAGCAAGAGAATATAACTATAAACATGTACAAGGAAATCCAGCATTGAATGCAATAACATATATATATATCAGTATAAATGTTCCTTGATACACAACAATGATCAATCGATCACTCTATCAGTCCTAGAACACATACATCTGTAGGTAATCCAGCCTACGACTGCAACTCTAAACTTCAGTATAAAACACTCCTTGACATAAGAATGCAAACAATCACTCACCTCTCACTGCGTCTTGCACGCTAATGACAACCAAACACTATCAACTCCCTACAAGTAATCCACCAGAACTTCCCTTCCACCTCTGGAATTTCACTACCCTGATATCTTCAGGTTCTTCCGGGCTTCACTTCCAGGATCCTCTACAGCTCCTCCAGGGTACTATCATGAAGTTTCCTTGAGCAACTACGGTGCTTCACCCTTCTGCTAGGTTCCTCCACAGCTCTCTTGGCTGCTACACCATGAAGTTCCCTCGAGCAACTATGGTGCTTCACCACCTCTACAGAAGCACGTGACACTCCTCTTCACTGCTTCTCCTCACAGCTCGAGGTCCTCTGCTCCACTACCTTGGAGTCTCATCAACTACTCCCTCTGTGCTGGCTTCGATGTTCTCAGCAACTTCTTCCCCAAAGACAAACCTGCAACCCATCGACACTCCTTAAAAATGTTTCCCCTTTAACACATAAACAAAAATAATCACACAATATGTTTGCCTTAAACCTCTATCTGTCCTCTACATACTGTGAGAGTGGACTTCCCCGTTGGGCGGGTCCATACTACACCTCGCCTGGCGGCGGTCCTCACTCACGCTGGGAGGGTCCTCCACCGTCAGGAGCCGGGCTCTCTCAGTTGCCTGCCAGCGCTCAGAGGAGATGGATGTCGCTCCGTGTTCCTCCCTATCCACTCTCTTATTTTAGGCTTTCTGCCTTATCAAAACATGTCTAATTTATAAATAAACATCGCTACTGTCGCTGGGCACATGATCAACTACAAGCAATCACTATGAACTGGCTTAAATCGTGCTTACCACAGAATGTCTGGTCGAGGGCGCTCCTCCCTCTGAAAGAGCCTGGTCAGGGCGATTCCACAACCCACGAAAATGTCTCTGGGCGGCTTAATACTCTCCTAGTCGACCACGACTTGAGACCACAACGTTCCCAGCTCGATTCTACAGCTGGCACGTCTACACACTTCTCTTCTCTTGGAGATATATCACTAGGGGTTCCTATCTGATGGGAGTTCAACGGAGCGCGGCTTTCCCCCTGCGATGTCTGGCCTCAAGTGAGGTCAAAGCCCTCCAGAAGCGAGCCTCACGCCTCCAGCAAAATGTCCACATCTCCTAGTCAGTCATTTATCTGTTTTCTTCTTCACTGCCCATAATCTTAAATTGTCAATTAAATCCTACCAACTATTTTACATCTGTGTTATTGCCTTTATATTTCCTAGACCTTCTGGTTAGGTCAGGCTTGCTGAATAACTCTCAAGGAGGGAGACTCGTTTCTCCTGCAGGCTGAGATCATAAAACCATTGAGTGTTGTTAATGCATCAGTATACATTGTTGTATGCTGACTGGCTGAGCACGAACATTGCCATCATAATCAAACTGAACATGCATTTCGGATGTAACTTCCTTGTCATTTACACCCACCATACCTCCTGCACACCCTCATACGCCCCCCTCCCATTCCAGCACGTTGTCATCGTGAGGGGGCTTGGTGAGCTGCTGCCGAAGTGTAATGTTCCATGAGA